AAACCTGTGAAAATAATACCGATACTTGACACGTTGTATTCATTTCACAATAGTATTACCTCAAATAGTTCAGCAAATATACATAGCACTAAATCGAATAAACTGTGTAAATAGATGTATTAATTGTCTTCAGCTACAACTGCTTTATCATCAATCGAAGAGGGTTTTTACACTGATGTTTACAAAATGGTTGCATGACACAAAAGAAAAGAATAATATAGATAATATGGTAGTATGGGTGAATAGGCCCGTGGACTCGTGTGATTGGCTCGGGTGTCCATGACGCAAAGCGACCGTCACTTGGTAGGTGTAACAAACTCTTCAGAACCTTGACTGTGACTCTGACTTCGAGCTCGCTGTTTCATTCTATGTTATCATAGCTCGCTTAATCAGCTTTACTTATATATATTACTATTCATTACACATTTTTTAATATCCTTGGATATAATATTGGTACCATTTAATAAGATAATGATATAATAAGGCGATTCAAAACATTGAAATAAACATCTGTGGTATGCCAAGGATCATTATATACAAACAAGGAATATGTAAGGCTGTAACATTGCTTAGCGTATAACGCAAAAGTCATGTTGATTTTACTCCCTAGATGGCACTGAAATGCAAATACGGCTCACCATGGAGTATATATTTTTAAACATAAAGTATGTATATATATATATATATATATATATATATATATATATATATATATATATATATATATATATATATATATATATATAGTATATATATATATATATATATATATATATATATATATATATATATATATATATATATATTATATATATATGTATGTATGTATGTATGTATGTATATATTATATATATATATTATATATATTATATATATATATATATATATATATATATATATATATATATATATATATATATATATATATAATATAATTTCGTTATATCTTAATATGTTCAATATTTCATCAGTTGAATCAATGTGAACGATGGAAACACTGAAATGCTATTTTCGTGTGTATACTGAAAATAATGCTGATCTTAAATCTTGTAGCCGAAAATAAAATATATAAACTTCCTAAAAATGTGATAAAGTCAAATTTCCAAAGGAATGAAGCAGCCTGTCACTGAAGGATAGGTCAACATAACAAAAATTCGGTTGATTAAAGAAGGAAAAAAACTGCAGATGATAAATGGAGACAAGCACACAGAGCATAGACCGTAGTAAAACCTAAGCCCTTAAAAAAAAAAAAAATCATCAATCTATTGAAAAAACAAGAGTGCCAAAACTAGATTAATTAAATATCACACACATATATGTATGCAAAATCTAGAATCCATTAGAAAGATAAATGACATAAAATAACTACAAGAGTTACCCCACAAAAAGCCACTAAATTGCCCATTTTCTGTAAAGCGCCACCGATCCCACTTTCTATGAAGGCCAGAGACCGGCCGGGAGGGAGTCTCCCTGCCTTGCTCCTCCTTGGCGGCAGACGTAAACAACACCTGAAACAAACCATTCTTTGTCCCTCCTCGCGCACCATTTATTAATCCCAAACGGGGGGAATAGAGGAGGACATAGAGGAAAGTTTCGAAACATGTTGGTCTTGTCCTTTGTATTGGGTCTATTGGCCTTTGGAGGAGTGAATTGCGATGAACACGGAGCGAATGCAGTGACATTTACATCGGATACTTTTGAAGACTCGGTTCCCTTGAAGCCGCATTTTGTGATGTTTTTTGCCCCCTGGTGAGTGTTGGCAGCGGATTTGCTTTTGTTGTCTTCCATCTTCGTTTGATTATGCTTTTCGGGATGTATGCGATGCGGTTTTCTCTTTTGAGTTTCTGATATATGATTATTAAGTTGGGCTCATTGTGGCGGTAAGTTTGATGCTGCATCTTTGGGTCATTTTCTGGAACACTTACGCCAAGCGGACCGCGACGATTTCGGTATCGTTGGAATCGTCTCGCCGTATGCAGTGCAGATTTGTTGGTTTTATTGCACAGAAACCCCCATAGGGGGCTGCTGTCCCCCAACTCCCGCTGAGGAAAAAAGACACTGTGCTATATAACCTATGATTATATTAGTACTGAGGGCTGGGAGGCATCTCAGCTGATGCTGAAGGTGATGGAGGCAGCTGGTGGGAACCTAACGCATAAAGTTCATCTCGAAGTATGCACACCTTCCACAATTGGCCATCACAGCGGCTATGGCTAAGCAACTTTTCATGCCCTCCCCTACTATTGGTGCCAAGTTTGTCACTAAAGAGGGGTTTCTGGGCAATAAAACCTACATATTTGCATTGTAGACAATGAGAGGAATCCAACGATACTAATATCATTGCAGTCTGTTTAGCGGATGTATTCATGAAAATTACCCATCAATCTTCATTATTTTCATTGATTTTTCTTGACTTTTTTGGGGGGAGGGGGAGATAAATTCTCATTGTTCAAATTTTCAGCCTGTAATTATGTTTATTTTCTCAAATTTGTTTTATTAAATATTTAGCATCATTAATTTGCTAGTTTCTGATACCTGTCTGGTGTTGATTAGTTGATCAAATTCATTGTTCCAAAAGATTTTCTTCTAAATTTTGCTGGTCATGTATTTTCGTTTGATCCCTTGTGTTCTGTCTGGCCCTGTGTCTGTCTTGCTCTTGCTGATTAGTCTATCTCTCTAGCCCTCTCTGTTTTCCCAAGCCTCCCTCCTGCTTTCGGGTTTCCTTTCAAATTCATTTAATAGACCCAATTATCACACTCCTGTACTCTATGCCAGTGTGCTGAGAGTGCCATAAACCTCAGTTCCAAGAAGATAAAGAATAAAGATTAAAAATTTTATGGGAGTTTATTGATAGTTATAGGACTTTTATATCTCTAAGGTCAATATAGATTAAAAAAGATTGAGTAAAATTCATTGTGACGGTTAAAGTGTTACTGTTTTCACTTGGTAAAGGCATTCCATAAATGCTTGGTTATAAAGTTATATTGTATTATGTGAAACTGTACATTTTTATGCCTTTATTTATATATACTCTCCCAGTATAGGTAGTCCTCTTGGGAAATTATTAAAGTTTTCAGAGTGTTAGGCCTATTTTTCTCATTTGTATCTTCTTTTACTTTTTCTTTTAAATACATGTTAATGTTTTATTTTGTGTGTGTGAATCTTTCTAACAGTGTTCATCTTGCTCTTTCAGGTGTGGCCATTGCAAAAGGTTAAGTCCAACTTGGGATGATCTGGGAAAGAAATACAATAGCCAGGAGTCAACAGAGGTTGTCATTGGCAAAGTTGACTGCACACAACACACTGCACTTTGCTCCTCCCAAGATGTGACAGGATACCCTACGTAAGGCTTTGTTCTGTGTGAAGGTACAATGTTCATAAACATATGCATGAATATTGATATCCATATATGTTTTTTTTTTTTTTTTTTATAATGGTAATTATTGAAGATGCCCACATAAGGTCTTGCACCTGTTCATTTCCATGTCATAAGGCAACTAGACCCTGCAGAATAGAAAGCCTGTAAAGCAAGGTGCTGTCTCTTTTGCTTCAAGCAAAAGCCACAGATTGATTTCAGACTGTAAGCGTTACATCCTGAAACTATCCAAGTAGATTTGGATTTAAGTCAGAATAATTACAAGAACAAATTTTTATTTTAAAAGCCACTGTGGTGTCTCGTAAATACACACCACATTTTACATTCTTCAAACTTAAGATAACCAGGACCTTTTTAAATAGTTAGCGGTTCCCAATACAGACTGAAGCTTTTCGCAAAGGGTGTTGAAGGCGGCGTCAAGTACCGTGGACCTCGTGACCTGGCTTCTTTAGAGAGGTTCATTGCAGAACAGCTTGGAACAGAAGTAGAGGTGGGAAACAATTTTTTTGAGAATATTAAGCAATCCTTGTGAAGTTGAAAGATCAATGAATGTGGTTATTTAACAACCTATGAATTTCTAGACCACTATTCCTTTTCATGAGTTACAATTCTCTTCACTTTTGACCAGGATGATGGGCAAGCTGCAGTTCCAGATGCTCATGCTGGGCTTATAGAGTTCACAGATGCAACTTTCAAGACCGTGGTGGCCACTGGAAACCACTTCATCAAGTTCTATGCTCCATGGTGTGGCCACTGCCAGGTTGGGGTCTTCACTGTCTATAGATTCTGGATTTTTTTTTTTTTTGCTGATACTTCATGATTTATTGATTTTTATTATCGAGTACAAGAACAATGTTATGATTTTTTGCATGTTTTTTTTTTCTGGTTGATATTTAAGAAAAATGATGTTATAGCTTTTTCTCAATTTCCATATGGAACATATAAAGAAATGTATATATTCCTTATGAAATTTCTTGACACTACCATTGCATCCCTGCAGAGACTTGCCCCAACCTGGGATATTCTGGCCAAGACCTTTGAGCACGATAAGTCTGTCACGATTGGAAAGCTGGACTGCACAAAGTACCGTGAGATTTGCACCGAGTATGAGGTCAAAGGCTACCCAACTCTCCTATGGATTGAAGAAGGGAAGAAGGTAATGGAAGAGAAACATTTTTGTATCCCTAGATTATTGTCATCATTTTCTTCATGGTCATTGATAGCATAGTTGTTTAGAACAATCAAGAGTATTGAGATTTCAATTTCCATTTATTTGTTTTTGTAAATGGTATTTGAAACTACTGTAGATTTGTGACTAATGATTATATTGGCTGACAGTAAAGAACCAATGGTCCATCTGAAATTTCAGATGGAGAAATATTCAGGTGACCGCAGCCATGGAGACCTCAAGGCCTTTGTGGCAAAGATGCTAGGAGACGAAGCTGGGAAAAAGAAGGAAGATGAAGATGCAGATGGACCTCGCTCCCCAGTTGTCGTACTCACCACGGAGAACTTTGAAAATGCCATTGAGCAGGGATACACCTTTGTCAAGTTCTTTGCCCCATGGTAGGTATTGTGTTTGCTTATATTGTTGGTAATGTTGAACTGTTTGCAATCGTTTGTTTGTTTGGGACTCGCATTGAGGGCTTAAATTTGTATATTTATTAACCCTGTCATGTGGATGGCATGACATCTTGCAGTGACTATGGTGGACCAAGTTTTGGATGGCATCAGTTACATAGTTTAGGCCATTGTCCCATCAGAGGGAGCTCTTCTTCCTATTAGGTACAGCCACGTAAAGTGAAGGAAAACTTTAGATTTTTTAAACTTTATCAAATTTGTATTTGCATTTGCATCATTGGTGTAAAGTGGCATTACACTCTAATAATGCCAGATTTCCTACTCTTAACTCTCTAACGACGGGTGTCCTACATATGAGACACCCGTAAAAATAAACTTTGTCGGGCGTCCTGCCAGTGTGACGCTGTATCGGGGCTCGCGCTCCAACACAGCGGTGGGCTGAATCCGGGGCAGCCCTGCCCGCCGATTTTGTAGCTGCCCGGAATCTTTTATTTTCGGTTTCAAAATATACCAGTGTTAATGGGTTAATAGCAGATCTTGTTATGGTAAATCTGTTTTCATTAAAATGTTTATTCATTATCTATGCAGTGCATGACTGGGCCTCATGCCAGGCCTCAAAGCATGTGTAGGTGCAGTGCTTTGTACTGCAGTCAGGGCAGTAGGTCTTCATTTTCTTCCAGACCCTTTTCCTGGAGCACCAACAATGCCTCATCCACTTCTTGGCAAGGACCTCCATGACGGCATGCCATATTTGCTGGAGAGCCTGCCTCTCTGCCACTGTCCAATTCCTTGCATGCTCGGCTCTGGACCTGAACTCCCACAGAAGGGCCAAGGAGAGGTCCATCTGAAAGTCCTAGCTCGTCATATCGCCTAAGGACTGGTGGAATGCAAAATATAGGAAGAAAAAAAAATGTTATATACCCTTAAGGTCAATAATATAGTTAGCTTTTCCCCATCCAATGCATTGATATGGACTGTAGACAGTATGTTGTCGTCCTTCTACTGCAAGGACAGTTTGCTGCTGCTGTGGTAGTCAACATCACCCATCCTACTCCTTTAAGATCCTTGGGCATGAATTTCATCTTTAGCCAGGCTATGCCCACCTCATTTCTCCTACAGGCCTATAGTAGGTCATAAAGTCAGCAACATGTATCAGTTTTCCAGAAACACCTGGTATCCTTTCCCAAGAGAGTTGCTAGATTCCATCAACTGCAGCACTGCTATCATGGATTAGGGTAATTGCAAAGGTCCGGCCTGGTGTATACCCGGAAACATGAAGCATACCCAGCCTCTAGGCTGGTGTAATCGGAAAACTTGTAGACCTTCAAGCCAAATCTTGCCCTCTTGCTCAGGTTGAAGGTCTTGAAAGCTATTCATTGACCATGGAATTTCCATAATTTTTCAATGGCGATGTCCCTCAGGCATGAAGGGCAAGAGGAATGATCAAGACTGATCAGGGCTTCCATATCTTGTCCTCGGGAACAAGGTAGAGGTGAGTCTTCAGCTGGGTGAACCTATCCCTCTGCATTACCTGGCAACTAGGTCACACTGCAGCATGAAATGGGTCTACCAATACTTGTAAGGAGGTGGTAGTAGGTTGGACAGCTGTACACCTGTCAGATTAGAAAGCAAAAACAAGTAATACAGTCTCTGCTCAATGCAAGAGATTTCTTCATTATGAATACAAATAGAGAGAACATAAAAGTAAAGTTATGAAATTCACCAGTTGGTCTCTCTCAGGATAAGTTATTGGTATGGGGAAGAATAAGAAGAAAAAGATCTCCAAGGATGTGCTTATTAAACACCTATTCACTCCAACAAAAGTGTTATTAAAATTACAAGTATAATGGGTCTTTCCCAAATAAAATTTGTAAGTAATTTGCAGCAAAGCAATAAGTTGACATATATAGTACACCAAGGTTAAACCTCAAATGGTTTTAATTCTTGTAACTGGTAAATAGTATACACTGTCTGTAAATTCTATTTTTTTATTATTTTTTCACAGGTGCGGACACTGTAAGCGAATGGCTCCCACCTATGATGAACTGGGTCGCAAGTTTGTGGGCCATGATAAGGTCAAAATTGCCAAAGTTGACTGCACACAGGAAATTAACAGAGGACTGTGTAGCCAGCAAAAGGTAAGGATTTATTTTTTTCTTCTTTCTTTCTTTTCTTTTCCATCTTTTTCCATCTTTTATTTATAGGTCTTATTGTATTTGTTCTGCTGTATTTTTTTTCTTTCGCCTTTTTTAGTGTTTGAGCTAATCAGCTAAATAAAGTGATCAGTAATAGGGAAAAAAATCTTTTCTTTTTCTTGCAGGTAAATGGTTTCCCAACCCTGTTCCTTTACAAAGGTGGAGAGCAGATCAGCGAATACACAGGTGACAGATCCCTAGATGACATGGTTACCTTTGTGACATCTCACTTGGGACACGATGAACTTTAGAATTGTTTCTTTATGAATTTTCCTCTTTTTTTCCCCTTCTTTTACTATTTTTCTGTAACTCCAATAGTTGGTGTGTGATGTTTTGAGTCTATAAGGGTATGAAGAGAAAATTATTTTATTTAATGTTATATATCCTATTATTAATTGTGGTCATTTTTTTTCTCGCTTCCCAATAACTGCTTTTTTTGTGCATATAATTTGCATCATCAGGAGTAAAAAACAGAGATAGAAGTAACACAGAGCTTAAGTATTGGGAAGAAAGATATGATAAAGGGAGAAAACAGAATAATTGAGAATTTTCCCCCTCATTCCTGAAGGACATTTAGTCGCAGAAAGGTCGAGACTGGAAGGTTTTTTGTTTTTGAAATCTCACCCTGTGACTTATTTTCTTGCTCACTAATGGTGTTATACAAATGTTATTTGTTACATTTTGTATTTGTGATAAAGATAAGGGAATTGAGAGGTATGCTGTGTTTTTATAACATTAACTGTGAGTTCCAGGAACTGGAACAAGTTTTATAACAAATTTAGGATCTCCTTATATTCTCCAAATTTAATAAATTTTGAAAATGTTGAATACATTTGTTTTATTATCTATCCGTGTATCTTTATTTTTTCTAACCATAAGACCATTATGTGAAATTATGCCTGTGTTGAAAAACTTATTCTTCATTTTTTTCATGAAGGGATGTCTTTAGGTATAATAGTCAAGATTACTCAATATAAACCATTGACTGCGACAAGCCAGTGTATGGTTTTGCCAGTAGACTAGGACAAGCCACACTACCCTAGGCTAATCATAGAATAATCACTCGGTCACAGGATAAATGCCAAATAACTTTTTTATACAAAAGGGAAATGATGAATCTTGCTTGAAAACTAGTGAATAGTTTGTTTGATATATACACATTAAAAGAAAGACTGAGACCCAATGCTGGGGATCTCCCCTACCTTGGGCCTCAGCCCTCGACTCAACTAATTTTACATGGTCTTTTCCCCTTCCTGCTTTTTGGTTTCTGTCCTTTCTCCAACTCCTCCTCCTATCCACTTTCTAAGGTGTAAGAGCCGTGCTGAAAGGATGAAAGGCTGACTATGTACCAGTCCTGAACGGTATTCCCTGTTTTAGTTATATCTAGCCCAGTGTTGTCAAAACTGGGGTCCGTGTACCCCTGCTGTTCCAGCCCGATGCCCTTTATGTGCCCAACCTTCATCATAACCGATCAAACTGCTCTGTACAATCACGCACATGTGCTGACTGTGGCGGCCCCCATAATGTATTTTATACAAGTTTGAATCTGAGGTGGCAACTCTCAAATACAAACTTGATCTCACTCTGCTTGAAGCCAGATAGGAAGCACGTCGACGAGGTTTCTCTCATACTCCCTACTCCAGTAATGTCGCTCGCTCTGCCCCTCCCCCTCCCTCCTAAGATGTTCCTACACCCCTATACCTACTTACTTCCCCACTTCCACTTCTACCTCCTACCTTCCTCAGTCAAATTCTTTTCCCACTCTAAATCCAGACACTCCAATCTCAGCAACAGCCCCAATACCCTTCCCTCTCCCCGTACTACTTCAGCAGAAGGACTAAACGTTCCACCCCTTCTTCTCCTACCACAAGCCCCCACCTACCTTTGCCTTTACTCCTCAGACACCAGTGTCTTCTTCCCCCTCATAAGAAAACCTTTGTCTCACAAAGCTCTCCAACCAACTCCACTGCAGAAACCCTGGAAGATACTCAAAATTATCTGCTCAAGTCCCATAATGACACCAAAACCCCTCACCCACCCTCAAATTCCACAACTCCCGCTCCTTCCACACTCATAGTGATTACCGATATCCATATACTTACTCGTATTCTCCCTACATCCCTTCATCCTACTCCCTCCCAACACAGCCCATCCCCCTCTGCTCAAACTACTGTCGTTATCCATCCTCCTACTCATATTCCCCCTAAACCCATTCCTCCTACTCCCTCCCAACACAGACCATCCCCCTCAGATATCCATCCTCCTACTCATATTCCCCCTACACCCTTTCCTCTTACACCCTTCCAACACAACCCATCCCTCTCAGCTCCAACTAAACATACGTTAACCCTCCCTCCATCCCCTCTATCCCTTCCATTCCCTCCTGGATACACATGTGAATCCCTGATGTCACAACTATGCCCTTTGCCAGATCCTCCACCTCCTGATCTCACCCCCTCGTCCCTTCCCCTTCAAACGTACTGTAACCGTTATCACTCGCAGATCATCTAAGAAATAGCTCTCCTACATTGGAATAGTCGCTGTTTCTGTTCTCACAGACATGACCTCTGTCATATCCTTCCTATAACCCATCCATTATCTGCTTCCAAGGGACTTTTCTTGCATATCTTCCTATACCAATGCCCAACTCCCTATGTAATGTCCCTCTTTCAGTTCCACACATTCTGCTGTCCTGTCCATGCTTTGCTACAGCCCGCACCTCTGCTTTCCCCCACCTATCCTCTGTTCACCGACCTCCCAACCTATCAGACATCCTTACAGAATCCCACACTTTTTGCTTCGATAACCTATTCTCTTTCCTCAGACGCATACATATCCTTCACCTGATCTAATCCCTTACCGAAACCCACTATAACCCATCCCCTCATCAACTCCTTTACCAATCTCTAACCTTTCAATACTAATCTAGATAGCTGACTCATAACTATCACCCTTTACTGAGCCTTCCTTTAATGCACTATGACCTTAGATGTCTAGCATATTTACTTTGCTTTTTAACCATTAACCATCCTCCTCCTCTTCAAGTTCCTTCCACTCCCCTTCCTCCTACATCCTCCCAGCATACCCCACCCTACCTGCTCTCACTTGAATACTCACACGAATTCCCCATCACAACAGTGTCCTTCTCCAGACCCCTCCCCTCCAGACATTCTTCCTGATACTTCACCACCTTCCCCAGTCCCCATTTCTCATCTCCTGGATGCTTCTCCTCCTACTTCTCCAACAGCCACCTCTATTTTCCTTGAACAATGTCCCTATTCCTTCCCCAGTAAGAGATACAATGCAATTCACTCAATTGCTCTACCCCCTTAACGTTTCCCAATTTACTAATCCCTGCTCTACTTCATTTACTTCCCTCTTTTCCCTTTTCGTTACCATATTTTCCTACACTGCCTAGATTTCGGATGACTATAATTAAACGATCAGAATGACTGCAGGTTTTTATGGATTTTAAACAATATTGAAGTATTTACTCCAGCAGTAGTAATAAAAATATTAATAATTAACATACAAATAAGTATGTGAACTGGTAATTTTTATTTGTTTAGAAGAAAGTTATTATGAAACATATTTCCTAAATTATTTCAAGTGTTACTGAAGGAAAAGAAAGGTGAAATAAATTCAGAACAGTAATTCTTGTTTAATAAAACATTATATACAACTTCACATAGAGAGAAAAAAAATTATCACATAAAAGAATTACCCTCCAACACTTTTCTTTTATTTTCACTCCTTCTGCATTTGATAATATAAGTACATTTGCAAGATGAAGACTGTGTCATCCAGACCTGTTTCGGCGTCAAAGAGTTTGTCCTGTGTTGAAAGGACTTGTTCGACCAGACTTCGTTCACTTGGGGTCACCATTTCTTCCACCTTTGAGGAAAGATACAAAATAAAGTGATAAAGGATGTGGATAGTTAATGATTACAGAATGAGAATGTTCTATTTGTTATCTTTATTGATTTAATTATGAATAATTACAGAAAAATATTTTCTCTCCGAGTTTGTCGGCTGTAATCAATACATTCAACTTTGGATTCTCAGTCGCAGAAGATTATAGATGTCTCCTGTTATATTTCTAAGAATAACTTTCAGTCACATAGATGATGAAAATCCAAACTGAATGGTTTACTATTCCTAGTATGAATAATATTTTACCTGTTTTTAATATTATTTACATAATATACTTATTCTCAGTATTAAAAAAATATATATTTTTTTCTATCCATGATAAATTATCCATGTGTTTAAGCAAACTTACTTACAAAAATATTCTTTCCTGCACAATTTTGTTCCTGAATAAGTACAACTACTGTTATTACTATTACTACTAGTATTACAATTACTACCACTGCTACTTTGACTACTACTACTGATATACTACTACTTCTACTACTATAACTATTATTACTAATACTACTGCCTTATTTCTATTACTATAAGTATTATTATTAATAATAGTAATACTACTACTGCTACTGCTACCACTACTACTACTACTATTACTACTACTGCTACTACTGCTACTACTATTATTACTACTATTACTAAATACTGATACTATTGTTACTACTACTACTACTATAACTATTATTACTATTACTATTACTATTACCACTATTATTATCACTATTACTTGTAGGACTATAACTACTACTTCTATTACTATTATTATAAATACTACTATTATAACTACTACTACTTATACTTCCTTCTACTACTAATATTACTAATGTAATTACTACTAATACTATCACTATAACTATTGCTACTATTACTGCTACTATAATTACTATTTCTACTATCATTACTACTACTACTAGTAGTAGTACTATTACTATTACTACTACTACTACTACTAGTACTATTACTACTACTACTACTACTAGTACTATTACTACTACTACTAGTACTATACTATTACTACTACTACTACTACTAGTATAACCAATACTTCTACTATTATTACTACTTCTACTATTACTATTACTTCAACTACTCTTACTATTAATACTATCACTACTACTACTATTACTACTGTTACTACTAATGCTACTGCTTGTAGTCATTCAACAAACCTCCTGAATTTGCTCCTCTGAACCTCCTGACTGCTTCAGGTTCTCCACAATGGTGTCCACTCTGGTGCGCTTCTCCAACAGCCTGCGGTTGTAGTTGGCACGCATCTCCCTCTGTACCATGAGGTTGTAGAGCCCCTTATAGCACCATTCCAGAATCATGCGCACCACCTGCAAATGGGTTGTGAGGCAATATGATTATTGAGTGTATAGATCATAGTTTGTGGAGGAGAGGGAAAGAGTAGCCAAGAGAAGGTATGAACTTTGATAAAAGGTCAAAAGGCAATTTCTAACACAAGGAAAGTTAACTGCAAACCATGGAAGAAAACCATCAGTACCAATCTGAAATTATACACAGAAACACAAACACAAGGCAGTTGTCAGCAAACATTTACTGTGCAATCCGACATTCACTCTTTTGAATTCACAAACGCACAGATGCGTATAATTTTCTCCACAAACACAGACACTCATTTGCAACTCATCACTCACACCCACACACCTACCCAGTCATCCACACCCACACAAAAACATTCCTCTTCTCACCGAATTCATATCAACATGAAATAGGTAGATGATCTTGTTCGCGGGGGATGGTGCTAGAGTTTTGCGCTGTTCGTGAATGCGCAAGAAATTGTCATGCAACAGCCTGTACGAGAGCAAGTTGGCCTCTTTCTTGCCAATCATGCTGAGTTCACCAATCTGGTCCTGTTCCATCATGCGGTGTTT